ACCGACTAAATTTTGATCTGGCAAGAAGAGCAAAATCCATCACCACAGCTAGAAAGAGCATGTTAAAATTAGTAAAATTGCAAAGTTTGCTTGCGAAATGTTGTAAAATGCGGAAAATATAGCCCTGCGAAATTTGCAAATTTTGTATCAATTTGTATTACGCGCGGGAAAATGCACCACATTTGGGCCGAAAGTGTTGCATTTTCCCTAGTCTGCGAAGCCGGACGTCATTTCCTGCGGGCATTCATCGCTCGGAAAGTAACTTTCCGGGCGATGAATGAGCGTGGGAATGACGTCTGGGTTCTCAGACAACATTTTCCTGTGCGTAATACAAATTAATTAATACAAAATTTGCAAATTTCGTAATCCTCATTTTACAACATTTCGCAACCAAACTTTGCAATTTTACTAATTTTAACATGCTCTTTCTAGCTGTGGTGATGGATTTTGTTCTTCTTGCCGAGATCAAAATTTAGTCTCTAGGTGGAATCATTCATTCACGCAGAATGGTTTTGTAGGTAGAAATTCCGGGTGTGAATTTTATACATTTCGGCAACTGGCCTCTGTAGCTCAGTTGGTTAGAGCGCTGCATTACGGAAATGGACCTATTCCCTAATGAACAAAATTTTGATCTAGACAAAAATTTTATCACGGCTTGAAAGAGCATCACAAGATTAGTAATATTCCGAAGTTTCGTTGCGAAATGTTGTAAAATGCGGTAATATACCCTGCGAAGTTTGCCGTTTTTCAGTCATTTTGTATTAACCGCAGCAACAGCAGCAACAACAACAGTAACAGCAACAACAACAGTAACAGCAACAGCAGTAGCAACAACAACAGCAACAACAGCAGCAACAACAGTGGCAACAACAACAACAGCAACAACAACAACAACAACAACAACAACAACAACAACAGCAGCGACAACAGTAACAGCAACAACAGTAACAACAACAACAGCAACTTTGACAACAACAGCAGCAACAACAACAACAACAACAACAACAATATCAACAACAGCAGTAACAGCTACAACAATAACAACAGTAGCAACAGCAGCAGCAGCAACAACAACAACAACAACAACAACAACAACAACAACAACAACATCAGCAACAAAAACAACAGTAACAGCAACAACAGTAGCAACAGCAGCAGTAACAACAGCAACAGCAACAACAACACCAACAACAGCAGCAACAGCAGCAGCGACAACAGTAGCAGCAACAACAGTAGCAGCAACAACAGTAACAACAACATCAACAACAACAGCAATAACAACAACAACAGCAACAACAACAACAACAACAACAACAACAACAACCTTGACAACAACAGCAACCTTGACAACAACAGCAACAACAACCTTGACAACAACAGATACAACAACAACAATAACAACAACAACATACTGATGAACAAAAACATTCACTCAATTATCTTGAAATTGTTGAAGTACAGTAGTTTACATTTTTAGTTTCATTTTACAGTTTTGAATAGAGTCGCGTAGTTTTAATTAAATCAGGTATAATCACTATAAGTCCACCGAACTCTAGTTCACCGTACAAACGCTCGAGAAGGAATCGTTTCAAATGGGGCCATGCATCAACAGAAATACTTTATGAAGCTTATGATTCCCAGCGAAATCCTTCTAAAGACGAAAGGTAATGATTGTTGACGATGCAACTTTTTGTTATTAGAGTACTGAAGTACTATTCTGTATGAATAAAAATAAGTTTAGGTTTTCTCCTCTAGTAACACTAGAACAATAAGGGATTATCCTTTCAACACCTCTAGGGAGAACAGTTTAGAGTTGGTAATTGTAATAAATTGTTAGTTACGGGTGTTGGTGCCCAGAAAATATATTTCGCTTCTTGGCAGCAAAACCCAAAAGTAAAAATTTGTTGTGTAAGTCAAATATCAAACTTCCTGAATATGTAGATTTAAGGCCTGTTTAAACGGATCCAACATTGTTGGACCAACATCATCCAACAAAAAATATTTGAAAAAGAAGCCGTTTGGGCCATTATTTCAACAATGTTGGATGATGTTGGCCCAACAATGTTGGATCCGTTTAAACAGGGCTTTATGAGAACGGTGACGTATGCCGAAAACAAGCGTACATTATAGCCACAAACCATGACCGGATTTAGAGGGGAGGTGTGGGGTGGTGCGCACTTCTCCTGAGATAGTTTTGCACCTCCCCTGAGAATTTTTGCACCTCCCCTGAAAAGTCATGCACCTCCCCTTGGGGAAGTTTCAATGATAGATCAAAGTGAATTTTTGACATTTTTGGTTGCTTAAGGTCTACACTTCGCAAGAAAGTTTTTCTGTAAAATTGAAACAATGACAGCCATTCGTCTCTGTATCAAGACTCAAGTACCCTTTTAATGCAATGTTTTGAAAGAAATTTTGTAGTAATTGTAATGAAGGGCAAAATTGAGTTGTAAAGTGACAATTCATAATACACTGATACATATGTACACTAGTTGACTGCATGCATACGTGACGTCGTTGACTTTGGCCGTTCTAAGCCCTAACTTTCCATGGCGGTCGTGAGCTAGACCGCTGCACCTCCCCTAACGTTTTTTCCACCTTCCCCACTATTTCCATCAAAATGTACTTATTTATAAATCGAGTATAAATTATTACAAGAGTATATAATGATTATACATGGCAGAATAACAAGAGGACGCGGGGTCCCTATCGAGGTTATATACAGAGCCATTATATACAGAGCGTCGAGAAACTGTAAAAGATTGGAATTAATCTTGAACTGTCTTTGCCAGTGCAAGTAGTTCCAATAATATGAACAAGCTTTCGTTGGTAGGGATAGCCCAGTATAACGCCAGACGAAGGGCCTTCGCTCGAAACGTCGAAATTCTCCATATTTTTTCAGTTAGGGGCTGTTCATATGATCCCACTTACCGAGACGTCTTGCTTAGCGTATACAAAACTTCTACATTCAGTCAAGCAACACAAATATTTAGCGATTTTAGTGTTTTTCTTCGTTTGTTTACAAGAAAATGTATTGCTTTAGGTGCATATTTAATACTTGTTTACAAAACAAACATAAAACTAAGTAAAAAGTGTTAAATTAAACGGCAAGACTTGTTTGACTTCATCCCGGTAAGCGGGCTGGCGTGTTCATATCAGTGGAAAATTTTTCATCCCGCCTGCCTATGATCTCGGCAAATTCAAACGGGATCTCGGCAGCGGGCCAGCTCGCTTTCTCATATGAACACAATGCAAAATTTTGTAGGAAAATAACTAGGCGGCGAGATCATCGGTAAGCGAGACGTCTTGGTAAGCGGGATCATATGAACAGGCCCTTAGTTGCATTCCTACCAATGAAAGCTTGGAATTATAGTATTTTGGGGAGAATGAAGAATTTTAGTGTTTAATTTGTGAGTAGAAGACATGGAAATAATAGATCTAATAATAGATATCTATTATTTCTAGTATATAATATAGATATCTAATTTTTGATATTTATTATTTCTATGGTATAAAATCAAGGTGAGAAAAATGCTAAATTTCCAATTTTCCCGCCTTGTAGGTAGTGGTAGCATCGACCAAATTTCTACAGTTGATACCAAGCCCTCGCTAACAGCAGTCAATGAAAAAACAATCATGCCCAAGCCTCCGCCATTCCCAACGTTTGTCACACATCCGCTGACCAAGTTCACCGACACATCATCTTTGGAGCGAGCGGTGAGCCCGCGTACACCCATTTCAGCGTCTTCAACAACCCAACCTTCAACAGCCCCACTCGCAAGATTGCCTACAATGTCACTGATTAAATTCGAACCTAGTCCCCCACTCGCGACGCAAGTATCTACGTACGGACATCAAACTGCGCCTGCGCTATTGCAGCGGCCTGTATCAGTAGCATTCGGGGCTATGCCTCATCAGATCTTAACCCCTGCACAACTTCAGGTAATATGCTAGAATCCACGTATCAAATAATAGGTTTTACCACCCCCTCATCCCCAGGGCATTTTGCCGCCAAGGCTTAAGGTCGGCGAAAATGGCCCTGGGATTGGCTGGTCAATTCTACAATCCCATTGGTCTGTTCAAAAACGCATTAATTCTTTTGCAGAATTGCAGTATAATTTATTCAAATAACTCTAGTGATTTAAAAACTTTTTGTCTTCAAATTATGCGGTAAACTTTATACGAGAGTATAGTCAAGATTCACTTACGTCCTATACTTGCCGTATACTGCACAGGAGCCCATCCCATGTCTTATTGAAAGCAAATATTGAATGTACATATAGTATTTATATAGCTCAGTGCTAAATCTAAGGGCGCGCGGCCTGCCTGTTGCGGGCTGACGAGAGTGCGCAACCAACCCGCAACAGACAGGCCGCGCGCCCTTAGATTTAGCACTGAACTATATAAATACTATATGTACATTCAATATTTGCTTTCAATAAGACATGGGATGGGCTCCCTGTGTATACTGCCCTTAAAATAACGTCTTTTAGATGAATAAATTGGAAATAGTTCATTACATCACATTTGTTATTCGCAAACAAACAACAAACATATCATGAACAAAGATTTAATTTCACATCAAATTATCGTATCAAAACCATTGATCAAAACACCCAGAAATTATGGGTGTCATGTGACCAGCCGATCCCAGGGCCATTTTCGCCGACCTTCAGTCGTGAAGAACGTGGAGGCAAACTGCCCTGGGGACGAGGTTGGGTTGAACTCAGAATGCAACCAATTTGAATGAAAACTTGACATGTAATAGAGCGAGACATTACCACTCATTGGAAGTTTTTGAAATTAGCATTGTAAACCGGAAGCACGGTTATCGGCAAATGTATGGGATTTACTACTTTTTTTGGGACCATATATATTCATCCGGTTATTAAAATTTTTGTACCGTGATTCTATTACAAAGTGTTTGTAGTATTAATTCTATGCATTTGCAAGGCACAAAAAATATATGTGGCCCCGCTTCTATGCAGCTCAAAAAAGTATGTGCCCCGTCCCCTTTTACTCCTGTCCCGTATAAAATACATTTTGCATGCCCCCTATTTCTGTCGAGTGGGACGCCCAAAATCCTTAAATTTATTTTCATTTATGACAGGTCATCACAGGTCTAGTGCCAGGCCAAATGTTGCCAATGACGCATGGAGCCACCGGCATTGTTGCCCAGCCTGGTGAAATTGGAGCACACGGGGCTATTCCGCCGGGTCACGTGACGAACCTAATGCTACCAAGTCATCTCAGCAGTCAACCGATCCCAGTGCACGCTGTGAATTTGATGTCGATGACCAGCGGTCAGCCACAGGTCTTATACTCCGTGTCGTCCCAATCATCTGTGCCACCGGCCTTGTTATCGAGTACGGTCACGGCGCCTGCCTCACTTCCGGCCAGCAGTCATTTGCCAGGTTCAGTAACCGCTGCCCAGGTGGCCGTACCATCTGTGGGCTCAAGTGGTGATATTGCCACTCAGCGCCAGTCCTTCCTGCCACAGATTGCCACGGTCCAAGGCTCTTTGCCAACAGCACATATCAACACATCATCCTTACCGAATCAAACATCACGTCAAGTGATAGCTCCAGTTAGTATTCAATCCCAGATCTCCACGCCTTCGACCGTCGGGGCCAAACAGGACCTATTGCCGACTCGTGTTCAGTCCCCTAGCGCGGTTTATCCAGGTATACCAAGCCTACGGTCAGACAACTTGATTGACACTAAACGACTGGAAGTATCAGAGGAGGTCTTAAATTCCTCTAGTGTCCTAAAACCCGAGGACACTTTGAACACCGGGGATACGTTGGTAGTCGAGATGAAACCCGTTGGGTTAAATGAGAGTAAGACAGTAGAAAGTCCCGACAACACCCAAAATGACCACAATGATCCATCAATGCCCATTAGTTTTGTCACCGATGACCCAGAGTTGGCTCAAGAAATTGTCGGCGAGAATGAATTCAAGGGACCGAGCCTGACTCTAAGCGAGGAGGGCGTTGTGAACAGAAGCATCGACGACGCGTCCCACAATGGATTGCACTCTGAAGTCGAGCTTCATACGGTTGTTGAAAGCAGCGAGTAAAATTAAATGTGGAGAATAAAACTACAAGTACGATGGAACTTAACAATATTCAAGGGACCGGTCATTATTTTTTGTGGGAGGTGGCACCGAAGAGAAAGATTTTTCTTGGCAAAAATTTTGCTGATCCGACCACTGGAAAGTTAAAATATTTTTTACCCAACCTCAAATAGCAATTAAAAAATAAATGCCCACCCCTGGCCAAAAACTCGCCTCGCCATTCAATAGGCCATTCCAGCTTTTAGTTTTTGCGTGCAGGGGACGATGGGAAGTAAGGTATCACATTGCTGATTATGCTGAAAAAATAAAAATGGTGGCCGTGTAAACACGGAGTGATAGCTTACACTTGTAAATATTGAAATGTTTCGGGAGTTTCGGGAGTTTTTATTGAAATTTTTCAGCATAATCGGCAATATGATACCTTACTTCCCATCATCTCCTGTAGGCATAAACTAAAAGCTGGAATTGCCTATTGTCACACATGTCCTTTACCACTTCCGCGTGACCTGAGTTTGATAACTGCTCGTGCAATTTTCTGCAGTCTAAAGATTCATGCTGTCTACACATGTACTTTCTTTCGAGACACCATTTGCCTCTCGACAAAGGGGAAAATGATCAAGATAGTGACTCTGATTGATTTACATATAACATATTGTATTGACATATGACGGTTGACATTACTTTTTAGTCTTCAATATTTTTAGTGAGTCGTGCTTTGGAAATGACAATACTTTTATATTACCCAACCCTTGAGTTGTTTTGTTTTTCATTTACCCAACCTTTTACTTAATCACAATTTTGTTTACCGAACCCTTTTCTCTTCGGTCCCACCCACCCACCCCCGCCATAAATAATCATGTGTCATAAACAGTGATACATGAATGAGCAACCACCAGTGACCCCAAACTATGCCCCAACGTGTCCTGCTCGAGTCTAACCCGCAGAAATGTTTACAAAAGTACATCAGTATATATAATTTTTTATATTTTTAAAAATGAAATTCATAATATATCTCCATATACATTGTTTGGTTTATATTTAGTTAAGTGTTTTATATAGAAATTATTATGTAAAATATATAATATATCGCAGAATATTATTAACTTAAGTATATAATTACTGTCTATGTAAAATATATCATATCACAGTCACAGAAAGGTATCAACTGGTTAAGTAATATATAAACGATATAGTTATTAATATTATATTTTATTCTTTTAACAATGTAAATAAGAATTTTGCACATAACGTTTCTTCTCTTATTTTATTTTACATATGCCATGTACTCTCTTTCGCAGCATTTTTTTTTCAATAGCTTATACTATAGTTAAATGCATTGCTTTTAATGATACATATTGCTATGAGGTATAACATTTGGTTCAGGGCCTCTTTTAAGGATGTGTAACTGGAGGGGACGTATTTAGCGGGGGACATGGAGAAGTTCCAGTCGGCAAGTCTGTATCACTGCAGCTACCTGCAGCATATATATGCATGGTTTAACTAATAAGTATACGTCATAGGGCAGCAGATCAGGCCATAACTAGGATTCTAAGACAACTAAGTTGACCACCGAAGGTGCGAGCCTTTAGAGGGGTTGGAACGTTCTTGAAGCTCAGATAAGCTATTTCCAGCATCTTGAGGAGTTTTCCAACAAGAAATTAACCTTACACTAGTCCCTGTAAATCAAACCAGCTGATCTTCTGGGACTGGTCAAATCGATCCCTGCAACCATGCTGTTTTGCAACATTTTTTTCCCACCAAGTAATGGGGCAGGATATTTCCCCCCAGTTTGTTAGTGCAGGTATTTTTATTCTTCAGAATAGCCTTGCAGGAAAATGTTTTTCAAAATCCCCCCCCCCCCAAAAAAAAAAAAAAATTAAATGGTCGGCCCACTAGATAACCCGCGAACAGGCATACTCTGGGAACGAGATTGAGAGTACAGCTGATTCAATTAAGGTTGCCTTCGAAAACCTTAAACCTTAAACTCTGAGCGCGCAAGGGATGATGGGTTTTAGACCCTTAAACTCAGAAAATTGCCTTTGCAACAAGTATGTTTTCTGTTGTGAGTCTTCTATAAGTTCTTAGGTATTCTTGCAAAGCGAAATTTCAAAGTATATGAGTCAAAATAAGCAATAACCCATCATCCCTTGCGTGCTCAGAGTTTAAATTAAGGTTTAAGCTTTTGGAAGGACAACCTCAATTGAATTAGCTGTATGTTAATTCCGCACTGCTATTTACACACTTGAGAAAAGGTGGGGGTAGTAGGAACATCGCTGTCGCAGCCACTTATATAATTTTCGCTCAAAATTTGCATCTGAAGGCGCCCTGCACTTACTAAAGTCCTTCAAAACGACAACTAAATACGTCATTATTTTGCAGTTTGATCATGTGTATTTGACAACAGGTGATACACGAGTGTCTTCTAAAATAGTCAGTTTAAATCGAATCTATACGCGACCCAAGTCTTCAATATGCCAAAAAGTGATATTTTTAGCGTCGTATTTTTGTGCGTTATAAATATAATCTTTATGATTGCAGGAATATTCCTAAATATTCTGTGGTTATAATCAGTCTATGGAGGTCGCCACAACTTCGAAAGAAACTGTGCTATTTTATGATTCTTGTATTATCTTGTTTTGATCTGGCCGTAGTCACTAGCACTCATCCACTCTTCATCGTATCTACCATATATTTTTCCCAAGGGGAAATTGATGAAATACGCGAGGCCACAAGGAAATCCATATGTTTCGCTGTTTGTGGTTCCTCGTTATTTGCGCTTTTTACGCTGAATGTTGAACGATTCCTGGCCCTGACGCGTCCATTTTTCCATCAAGCATCAGTCACAAAAACAAGACTTCTACGTTTTCAGGCATTTTGGACGATTACAGCAGTCGGTCTATCGCCATTGGTATATTTTAATTTGGAAAGAATTGTCTATATTTTTGGAACTGCGACTGCTTTATCCCTCTTATTCTTGTTCATTTATTCAAATTACAAAATTTTTATAATCGCGAAGTCAAAACGCGAGGATGAAAGGGTTGCTCCAACTACAGCGATGGATGAAAATAGGAAAACACGAATCTTGAATCTCAAACATATTTCTACGTGTTCTTTGGCAGTTGGCTGTTTTTTCTGCTGTTTCTGCCCGTACATTATATACGCAGCTTTACGTTTAGCCGCGCCGTTGTCTGAGAGGCAATTTTTGTTATTTAGTCTCTGGTCAAACACGTTTGCTTCTTTGAACTCGACATTCAACTGTGTCATATTTTTCGGGAGAAACTCGATTCTGCGTCGAGAAGGAATGAATACATTAAACGCTTTCCGACGACACGTTAATACTAACTGAATTTCTATTAACAATCTCTCCCGGTATATTATAGAAAATTCGTTCTATATTAATTTTTTGAAGACAAAAACCGCTTCATTAGATTGCATGACTGCACTTGCATGAGTATGTTATTATGTCTAGAGCTGTCTTGGAATGAAATTCCTAGAATGAAATTATAAGGTATAAACACACGCGGGCGCGTTATATCGCTAGTTTTTGCCTCTGACACTCCGTCAAAAACGACCGAAATAAATTCCAACTTTTCTTATCTATTTGATCGTTCTCAGAAAAAAAACACAGCTGTCAACATTGGTTGGTTAATTTTCCCATGGGTTTATTACAGGAAAGTAATTATACTTGTTGTACAACAACAGATGATCTAACAAAAACACAAAAGATGTCCGCCTCTTTTCTCGATGTTGCCAATGTAGCTTGGCTAGAAAACATTTTATACTTGGGTTTAAATATTTTAGGTTAAAATTTTTGAAATAGATTAGGGTTAGGTGAATGATTAAGTTTAAGATTCACTGTTACGTTAAGTTTGTGCGATAAAAAATAAGAATTAGCCATAGATATCTTATATACACTAGATAGCGCATCTCTTGTAGTAAAATTGAAGCCAAGAATACTTCAGCGGTTACCCCCATTTGAATAGATGGCGGCCATGTTGGTCGTTCCCACTTGCTAATAAACGCTTAAAAACAACAATAACTTTGATGATTTGAATAGTTTAAAAATGTATTTGGAATAGGGTTAACTTAAAGTTTAAGTTCCCTGTTATAGAAATAGAAAACATACGAATCTTCTCATTTCATGGGAACGACCTGAGACTGCAATCACGGCTTCAATTTTTGAATTGCAGAATAATTAGATGCACTATCTAGTGTATATAAGATATCTATGGAATTAGCTGACTAGCTGTATAAGAGAGCACTCACAGACTATATGCCACCTGCACCAGTGAATTAAGTCAATCATGCATAAATTATACAATGGACAGACGGACTAATTAACTAGAGAGCACTGAGAGACTGCGTCAACACATGCATAAATTATATACAATGGACAGATTAGACTGCGAGCAAATCCCTCTATTTTCCTCCGTTTTATTGTTTCCCGGACTAAACTCGATTGAGCGCCGCCCCCGATTAAGCGCCGCCCTCCGAATGAGCGCCGCACTAAACAGTGTAATAATTTTCCGCCGTGAAAATGGGGACATTTTGTGACAAAGACATTTAAAACTTGTTCATTTTATTGCTAAAAGTTCTTGATATAATTCACAAATAAAAGATTTTTTTAAAGAACGCCGCCCACGATTTAACGCCGCCCTCGAATGAGCGCCGCATCTGAAGCTCTGAAAATTTAAGGAGCGCCGCGGCGCTCAAACGAGTACTAGAGAGTTTAAGATCTACGACGCAGCCGGCTCAACGACGCGCTTGCGAAAGAAAGAAATCTGTCATGCAAGACAAAAACTGTGAATAAATTTGTGGTCCCAGCCTCCCAGGGGTATTCTCAACGGCTTTGTCATGCTCAGCAGAACGTTAAACTAAGCATTATCACGTCTTTCAAGCAACGCGAAGCTTATTGCGACCCAAAAGGTGATACTTAAAGCCGAAATTACAGCAAACATTGCATCGCTTTAGTCAAATTTACACTGAATGTAAATCTTGCTGAAGGGTAGTACAATCGTCTGAGTTACGAACCACACGGGAACATTTAGCATCATCAGCGAAAAGAGCAATAGATGTTGAATTGCTAAGGACGTCGGGCAAGTCATTTACGTAAAGAAGGAAGAGAAAAGGTCCCAATATACTGCCTTGAGGAACACCAGATGTTACGGGTACCCACGAGGAAAGCAGCACCTTCCGATTGAGGCAGTTAAAAGCGTTATCTGCATCAACAAGAATGATGCATCCGTAGACTGTTCGTCAAAAATGTCACCAATAGACCTTTCCCCTTATGAGTGAAATTTTGATCTAGACAAGTCTGGACAAACATTTCATCACAGCCTGAAAGAGTATCACAAAATTAGTAATATTCCGAAGTTTCGTTGCGAAATGTTGTAAAATGCGGATAATATAGCCTTGCGAAGTTTGCAGTTTTTCAGTCATTTTGCATTACAAATGGAAATTGATAATCAGTTTGATCATCTGATTATCAATTTCCCGTTTGTAATGCAAAATGACTGAAAAACGGCAAACTTCGCAAGGCTATATTATCCGCATTTTACAAC